TAATCTATGCGTGTTATTTTTTATAGTGCAGATATAAATCAGAATGCGAAGAGTTGGAGATATCTTACGCGCTTGATACTGATCAAAATTATGACAAAGGCCATGGACAAGATTTAGCTATCGAAATRGATAAAACATCTAAAGATAAAAGCAGCTATCCAAGGTTTAAACATAAAGTTTATTGTATATTATAATATAAAAACATATTATGTATTTATCCAGACAAATATAGATTWATATTGAAATTGTAAATTGTAATAGAGTTTTTAATTAGTYGAATAATTTATATGTTATACATTCATTGTGCTTGTTTAGCCTGATATATTATTTTAATTGTACAAGCTAAACTTGAAATTATATTTGTTTTATTAATCTAGCGGTATGGTTGATCACTTAAGCTTTGAATCCCACAATACATCATCAAATACAACTGATATGATAATGTATACATCCGGAAAAAGTATTCATTTATGTCCATTGAAGAAAACAGTGAACATGCTCCCTAAATTATCTCACATTGATAAGATTGACCCAAAGGATGAAAATAAAAAATCTACTCAAAACGGTAAAACAGCTATGAAATCCTTAATCTTTAAAATTGTGTATTCATTTTTTCTAAAAATCATTATTGTTTTAGAGTCTGAAGAGGAAGAAGAAGAAAGTGAACAGATTATGGCAAAATTTAAAGATAGACCTGGTAAAAAAAGTGAAAAGAAAAAAATGCAAGAGATGGTTCAACAAAGAGCAATGGAACCTTGGATTGATTTAAATTTTGTACCAAATGGACAATACTTTTCTAGGGTAATAACTTATAACATTGATTCTACTCAAATATATTTTTTAAGTTATCATGACTTAGATACATTTAAACCTAGTACTAATGCATTACTAATTGATTTATGTTATATTAAATAGTATATATTATGTTTAATTTGTGGAATCTGGYCACTATTCAGCATTATTAATTATGGTGGTCTGTGTATAATATGAACATTGCTCAGGCATAGTACACAGAACAGATATTTTTTATACTTAAGTGATTTTATTATTTATTTTATCATGACT